CACCCGCCCCCCCGCCGCACTCCACACGTCATCACCACCACACACCACACCCCCCACGCAGTCTCCCCTCAGCCCACGCGTGGTGCCCACCCCCAGGGTGTCCCCGTGGTGTCCACCCATGCTCTGCCAGTCCCGCGGTGTCCCCGTGTCCCTTCCTCAGGGGTGTCCCCGCACCCCCTGTCCCCCAGAGGGGGGTGTCCCCCCACCCACGCACCCTGTATGGTCCCTATCCTGGGGTGTCCCCAGGACATGTGGCACGAGGAAAATCCTGAGGAGGCTGGTGCTCACACGGACTTTGTCCCTGGCTGGGCGCTGGGGGACCCCATCCTCACCGGTGACACTTTGTGCCAGGACGTGTGACCTGGGAATGTGTGCTCCTGGCCCAGAAATCCCACCACCTCCAGGGCTGCATCCCCAGCAGGGCCAGAGAGGGGATTCTGCCCCTCTGCTCTGCTCTGCTCTGGAGAGACACCCCCCTCCCTTGCAGTGCTGCCTCCAGCTCTGGGCCCCCCAACGTAAGAAGGACATGGACCTGTTGGAGCGGGTCCAGAGGAAGCCACCAAGATGCTCAGAGGGCTGGAGCACCTCTGCTGTGAGGACAGGCAGAAAGATTTGGGGCTGTTCAGCCTGGAGAAGACCTTATAGCCCCTTCCAGGGGGTGCTACAGGAGAGATGGGGAGGGACTCTTTGGCAGGGAGTGTAGTGAGACGACGAGGGGTAATCGTTTTAAACAAAGAGAGGGGAGATTTAGACTAGATCTAAGGAAGAAATTCTTTACTGTGAGGGTGATGAGACAGTGGCACAGGTTGCCCAGGGAGGCGGTGGATGCCCCATCCCTGGAAACACTCAAGAGCAGGTTGGACAGGGCTCTGAGCAACCTGATCTAGTAGAAGATGGCCTTGCTTCTTGCAGGGAGGTTGGGCTAGAAGGCCTTTAAAGGTCCCTTCCAACCCAAACTATTCTATGTCACCCCGGTCTTTGTCCCTCCCAGCCCCCAGCCCAGCCTCCCGCTGAGCACCCAGGTTGGGGGGGGTAGTGGGGTGTAGCCAGGTGCTGGAGCCACGACCCAACCTCAGAAACCCCAGAGATGGTCAAGGTGTCCTCTCAAGTGTCCCAGGAGTGCTGGCAGGGCAGGGAAGCTGCAGCCAGGCACATGGTTAGCTCCGGACGCTATCACAAGTATTTCCCTCCAAAGCAAACAAATTTGCTAAATAAGGACAAAGGAATCCTGCAAACTTCCTTTCAACCGAGCGGGAGGTCGTGCTGCTGCTGGAGTTCCCTTTCTGCCCCGTGCTCCGTGCTGCCACGGTCCAGCCACACGCTGCTCTCCCACGGACACCTCTCGCTGCCTGCAGATCACGGGGGGGCTTGGGGAGGTGACAGCGAAGCCTGAAGGCTGCGGTTCTGAAATTACATCACAGAAAGGGAGAACAGAAAGAGTGGCTTTTGCTCCGTGTCCCGCTGGGTGTCTGTGCAGCCTTCACCCTGCGCCGTGTCCCACGGGGTGTCTGTGTCGCACCCTGGCAGCACCCCAGCTATTTATAGAGAAGAGCCGGGTGTTGGGAGAGGAAGCTCGGTGGTGGAGAACAGAGTGGGCGGACGAGGTGCTGGAATGGGGAAATGGGATGAGAGGCGGTTTCGGTGGTGTGAGGTTTCTGCCTCGGCTGGGACCTTCCTTAACTGATGGCTTCCCCGCACCGTTCCCGCTCCCCGCTCCTGCATCCGCGCAGCGCGGGGGTTTGGACAACAGACTCATAGAATCATAGAATCATCCAGGTTGGAAGAGACCCTTGGGATCATCGAGTCCAACCATCTACCCTACTCTACATAGTCCTCCCCTACACCATATCCCTCAGTACCCCATCTGAACATCCCTTAAACACATCCAGGGATGGTGACTCAACCACCTCCCTGGGCAGCCTGTTCTAATGCCCGACTGCTCTTTCTGTGAAAAATTCCTTCCTAATGAGGAAGAGAGACGGGAACACGAGATCCACAGGACACCTCTTCCCACCGCGGACCCGCGCAGCCTTTGGAACGCAGGGGCATTCAGGGGAGCCACGTGTGCAGTGCTAATGACCTTAGCTAATTACCAGGAGTTTCCCCTGCCCACTGCTGAGGTCAATGTGGCCGTACCTCTCCCCCGGATACCAACGGGCACAACTGGAAGCAGAGACACAGATGAGGTGAGGTTGGGAGAGCAGAGCAGAACAGGGAAGGAAAAGCAGGAGGTGTGGGAGCTACTTGTCCTCAGCTCCCTGTTCCCCCCCCCCTCTTTTTAAGACCTGATCAGAAAGGTGTACAAAGTGATCAAAGTAAGTTTCTGGTACTAACCCAGTGAGTTAGTTGTGCTGTTTCCCATGGGTTAGGCTAATACCTGGGAATACTCTCACACCAAATCAAAGCATTCAAAAAGGTTTAGGGCCCCTATCCTAACAGACACACAGATGCTCATCCTTGCACGAAGCACTGAGTCTTGAAAGGAGGACAAGCAGGTTTGAGGACTTGGTGAAAAACACCAGCTCTGGGACAGTCAAAGCTAAGTTCTCTGCTTCGTAACGAGTACTTTATCAAAGGCATCTGATGTCCTGCACATCCATGGAAACAGTCCTACATCCCTCTCCAGAGCCTGCTGCAGGGCTCTGGAAGTCTCTGTGGCCCAGGGTGCAGAAATCAGCCAGCCCAGGTTACACCTATGTGTTTTGTCTTTGTTGTACTGTATTCAAATAAGCCTGAACCTCTGCTTTGGCTAACAGGGTGTGGTGGAGGAAGCAGAGAAAGGCTGATTTTAATGCCTTGGTTCTGCAGCTCTTGCTTGTGTTGGCAATCTTTGTTCACCCAAGCGAGGTGTGTCAGGGTGGGCCCATGGCTTGCCCTTGGCTACGCAGCCATGACCCACACCAAGTGGGACTAGTGATCACAGGTTCAAAATAAAGGCAGGGATCTGCCCCACATATAAATAAACTTCATCACCCAAAGCCTGGGTTGCTTTTGAGGTTTTCTTGCCTTTGTCTGTGCTTTTGAGTAGTTATTATCTTTCTAGTATGTTCAAGGCTTCTTGTTTAAACAAATATAATACCAAACCTCAGAGGAGAGGTTAGGAAGACCATTAAGTTTGCACTTCTTAGGCTGCCTTAAGTGGGAAGAGCCCCAGCACACCCCAAAATGCCTCCTTCTGGGTTTCTTCAGCTTGGAGGATGTCAAAACCAGGCACATCTCATTTGGTTTGTGCAGCACATCTGCACCACTGACCCCGCTGCTTTGTCATCACGCTAATCTTTTCTCTTTTTATAATTGGATGTGTGCTCCCTCCTTGCTGGGTGACATTTGAAGAACGGCCTGTGGGATCAATGAGAAAGGCAGGGTTGGTAGGAAGAGGTAATCGCTTTTATTAGCCCAACTGACATAATTGGAAAAAACAGCCAGGCTTTCGGGCACGCAAGACCTTCCTCAGGACGGGGACTAGCTGGGATGCTGGCCTCAGCTCTGCCGGCCCAGACGCTTATCACAAGCTGGAAAGCACGGAGCACTCTGATGTTGAGCAGCTGGCCAGATGGGGCCCTTGGCAGGCGCTGGCCAGTGACAGTCTTCAGCACAGTGTTTGGCAGGAGAGGAATTTGTAAAATTCTCTTCTTGCAGAGAGCTGATAAGTAGCAGTATTTGTCCGGGGTGTCACGGCGGGGAGGGCTGGAGAGCAGCAGAAGCAGCACGCAGACAGCATGGGAGCATTCCAAGCCCACGGGAAGAGCGATGGGGGACACTTTTGGTGGGTCACCTCTGCCTTCCTCCGGGGAAGGCTTCCTCATTCTCCTGCAGCTGGGCAGGGCTCAGGGAGCTTTGGGCACGTTCGCTGTGGCAGCAGCAGTGCAGCCTCCTGGCCCTGGATTCCTCCTCCTCTCTTGCTTCACAAGCCATGAGGGGGAGCCACCCGTGACTCACAGCTCCCCGTTAATCCCTCCTTTATGCTTGTTTGGAACAACAGTGCAATTAGAAACTAGTGTTTGAGTGATGAAGAGGGATTTTTTGGTTTATTTGTTTCTCTCGGAGCTCCTTGCATGATCTGGTGGGAGCCCTGGGGAGTCTCCTTGCTCCAGGATCTCGCAACAGTCAGGAGAAGCTCAGGGGTCCCTTTGGCACCCACCTGCAGAAAGGACAAAATCACTCCAGCTTCTTTTTGACAGGGCAGATGCTGCCATCTCTGCCTTTGGGCAGCTCCAGCACCCCCGAGGACCATGGCCACCCCATGCTGTGCAGGGGGCAGGGGGGCAGAGGGGCTCTCTGCCACTCCAGGGGCTGCAGGATGGGGTGAAGTGCCTGAGACAGCACCCATCTCACACAGGAGCATCCCTAACGCTTCCACAGGTGCCATCGCTGTTAAAGAGCGTGTCCCCACGTCCTCCCACGTGAGGTGTGAAGGGAAACTGAAAGAGGGGGGAAATCAATCATCTTGCACCAAGGTGGGCAGGATCCTCTGGTCCTCTCTGTGCATCTCCCAGGGCATCTGCTGAGTGTGGGAGATCATGGCTATAACCTCTGGAGCACTGGCATTCCTAGGGAGGCAGTTATTGTCCTTTTTTCTTTCTTTCTTTCTTTTTTAGACTAGACCAAAGAAAAAGGAAACTGCTGGATATAAGCAATGACCCCAGTGAAAAGTGAGGCACTTTATATGGAACAT